CAACTTTTGTTCAAATGTGGCAATTTTTTCGGCTCTAATAACTAACTACTTGGCCACAGAGTTGTAAAAGTAATTTTACATCCGTCGGCTACTGGGTTTTTAAAGGTATTGCGATCATTGCAGTCGGAATGTGGTATTTTTAACATAAAAAATTGTCACTGGGTTTTATATGATATTAGAAACACATTCTGCGAATCTAATTCACACCGACCTGGTGGTGTGAGGTAAAATTGACCTCCGTAGTCAGTGTGTCGCACGCCTGTGGCAATTTTTGCTGGAACGCCTGGCCTCCGCACAAACAAATGCATCCAACTTTCCAGCAGGCCTAGCAACTCCACAATGGTGCTGTTCGCAGCCTCGGCTGTCTGTGCGACAATTTGCCTCGAGCATCAGAAGTTGATTAGTAAGTGATTAAGTATTATTGTCTTTGGACTCATGTAAAAAAATTGAGGTGAAGTTTAAGAGGTGTAGTGATCATTTTGTACAACCGTAAGATGGTCGACACCACTTGTAATTACGTCCTCGATTTATTCAAACAAACTTTGTTAGTGCTCGTCCTAAGCTCCTTGAATGCTGATACTGAAAAGTGTCGTCTAGTTCAATCATGTTTGCCTTCAATCTTCACCTACATCTCTCACTATCAAGCGCTTTCTCCATCTACTTCAATAATTTTCAGTCCATTTGCGATAGCCTTCGGGTGAAGGAATATTAAGTAGTGAGTTCATTTTTAGTGCTACTGAAATTCTAGTTTTCATCACCAGTACTACTCTGATGCGGTGGAAAGTAATTTTATGGGCTGTTTAGTTTCCACGACACGAGTAGAAGTTTGATTTTGTAATTCGTTCCCCCCCAACTTTTGATTGGAGCCTCCTGGCCTTGATTCCTTTTCCGCATACGTATGCCTTACAAACATTGTGAAGACGTACTTTTGTCAATGACTTCAAGTAGAAGAAAAGCGCCGACATCTGATTTGTCTGTCGATCGAATGCTTACCATCACTGCAACACTTGGTCTTTAGCCGCTTTGGAGGAGACACTGCTGAAATGTTAAGTTAGTCCGTCTCAGTTCCTATGGCTGAATGCTGAGACCTCACATGAGGGGATGGGCTCGAATGTGCTGTGGGTGAGAAAACGTGTGCCCGTCCCTGGCACGAGGATTGGTAATGATGTCCACCTTCGGTAGGTATTCTGATCTCGTAATCTGCAAAATGCTTCTGTTCTTAAGATGGCATTGAACCTCGACCACTTCCGCGCATCGCTATGCACCTCTCTGTGGTACTCCATTGAAGATGTTGATGAAATGAAGAGGCTGTACCCCCTTTACCTTTCCGGATGGAAAAGGATGAGTAGCAGTAGAAGGATAACGCGAAGTGTACTTACCATTCCACCTTTGATTTACAATCGGCAAGATCTTCAAAAGTTGGATGTCGCCCCATTTGGATGTAAATTGGATGATGACTTGTTGTTTTTTTGCGGATAATCTTCATAAAACAAATCCCACATTGTGAAGGGCGAAAAGGGAAACAGGTCATGGAGAGTGCTTAAAGGAGGGCTCTTTGGGCTGCTTTGAATTTCTGTTGTGCTTTTAAGGCCACTAGGAGTTCCACTTTGTGAGGAGTGTGGCCTTTGGACAGTATCAGTAGTTCCCTCCACCTCTTCTGCACTTTAAAAGTGCATATTCCACCCTGATATTATACCCTTTTAGACTCCAAATAGGTGTAGGAGGAGCTACGTGTACTTGCATGTCAAATGCGGTTTAAGTAACTTTGGAGAGTTATGATGGCTTAAAGAAATAGAAAGCGACTACTTGCAAGAAAATATCGTACAAAAGGAATGCGCCATTCCTCTTCACACAATGTCAACAAAGATCCACAACAAAACAAATTCACTACTGCAGCTGCAATCGCTTGTTTCATTAAAATTTAAAGCAAAGTTAAGTTAAACGACTGGGCAGTCAGACATTAAGTTAGCCACGTTGTTTATTTGGAAGTGGTGTGAATGAAAATAGAATTCCACCAGGAGTGAACCGTAATGCCCAAAAATGGTTTTAATTGGATGAGTATTACTGATTGAATGGCATCAACTGGACTGCAGTGTTAAACCTAATAATCACGCCAACGTGCCTTACAAAGTGTTTTACAAATCAAGTGCGTTGTGAAGCACTGGCGGATAAAAATCAAAGCACTATTGCTGAAACCTTTCTCAGTTGCTAATCGTCTTCCCACAAAAACCTTTAAAAACATCTTTCCAAAGAGGTCCTCTGAATGCCACAAAACTCGGTACTTGCAAAATAGATGTGAAGCCTTCATATGCACTAATGCGGTTGTTTTGCTAGAAGTCGTGTTAGTGTCATTTGACAATGCATGTATCCCACGGCATGCCGCTTGATGTCAATCACGCCAATCATTTGACTTGCACCTAAAGCGAGAGCTAAAACTTGACAGCTTTTCGTGTAACAGTCGAACTTGACTAAAACAAAATTTATTTTGAGGTTTTGCCTCCGCCGAGCGCTGCATAACAGCGATAGTAATTTTAACTTTAAGTCTGACCTCTCTTTTTTCACTTCGCTGCCCTATCCAACATTTCAAACGACCTATGATTAGCCCATCTTTTTGAGGTCTCAATTAGCACGAATCGTTCAGCACGATTAAGCAGTTTGTTTCAAAAAGTCGATTCGCTTAACGGTCTGTGGATAAATATAGATGAAGACTATGTAGCGTTTTGAGCCTGATGGAGTTTTAATACTTTCACTGACATACAGCGAAGTCCGAGCCACCCCCGCAGAAATGTTCCAACGTGGCAGTATGGCACGGGCTTAACATGAAACAAGAGGCAGCAGGCACCATGCCATTCGCGGTTCATGTAAGGTGTAATTTTAATGCATGAATGTTGCACAAATTGGGCACCATTTCCAATGTTCTTCATAGCAGTCCAAGAGCTGTCATTACGTTCTGCCCTTAATAATTTGCATGTGACACAATGTCTATTCAGGAGCTATATACAAAAAGGATTATTCTAGGTGTGGCCTTGTGTGATGGAGGTGAAATCCTTGTTCTCCCTCTACTTTTGCAATGGTTCACATGACCACTGGCGCCATGGCCAGTGGTAAAAACGACAGCACCCAAATTAAAACACGAAATGAAGATTCCCTATGATGTAATTAAAGGAAATTGAAAGGGTGACAAGGCAATTACATTCCTTTTAAATTGCTGGCCTTTTAATCGGGAGGCTAACGTGCCTCTTCCTCATTTTCAAGAGGAAAATATTTGCATCCCCTGAATAATTTGTTAACGCCTTTTGACGACATTGCATGATCAGTGCTGCCTCCTTAGCTCTGAATGTAGAGTTTAGCACTTCAAATCCATGAAACACCAACTTTAATGCCTATTTCACTTCATAAATACACAAAGCAACTAAAAATTTTCCTTATGCAAAGCTGAGTTCATGCAGTAAAGATAACAACTGTTTTGTATGAAGGCTGATTATAATATATGAAAAAGGAGGTGCTTTTTAAGTTAGGATGAGCGCAGCACTTATTGATACCCTTCCTGTTGACAGTTATTAACTGCAACATCTCCTTCATCACAGATTGTTAAAAAGCTTTTAGAAGGTACATCTGGGAGGCATTTCTCCCAAATTGTGCTTAGAGAACGCTATTTGTTATAGAGGAATACCACCTCATGTCGTTACCACATTCTCCCTCTGTGCCCTAGATACGTTCCGCTGCAGGTTCCCACGGGGCATCTCAATCAGCCTTATTAGCAACTTTTGCTACTAAAAAGCCATCAAGACGTTTATATGAGGTAGTTACTGGCACCTTCAGAAATTGAGAGACAAAGGCAGTAAGGTATGTCATGGAAACGATTTTTGGTCTGCCACATCATTTTCTGGCAATGGTGAGGCTTGGTGTCCTTCAACGGGGCTTCTCCTTGTGATTCTGCAATGTGGATGGTGCCTTAAAACACCATCATTGAGTCAAAATCGAGGGTTATGGATAAATTGTCGACGGTTTCTCAATTCGGTCGCCTTCTAGACCTCCATGGCAAGCAAATTAACACGATGCTCGTTGCTTACGCAAACAGTGTATTGCAACTTGGAAAGACTTCAGTTGTTAACACACACTTTGGTTATGCTTCATTTATTGTTAACCAGTTATGTTTACCCAAGACGTTTGCTATTTCAGCATACCTCTTGGTGGAAGTTTACCCAAATTCAGTCATCGACAATAAATTCCTAATCTTTTCGTTAATGAAATGCGATATCAATAAAAACAAATTATATTCGCTGTTCAGGTTAGCCTAGTTCACTTTAAGCTGTCCCTGGTAGATAACTTTGTCCCCTCTCAAGAAGTTTATGGGGAAGGAGAGCCAAGGACATCCACATCCAGTGCAAAGCATTACCAATGTGGTGATGACAGAAACAAGTGGAGGGCAGAAAAATCCATTTATTCGGATATCAGCTTGCCGAAAGCGTGGCTTTTGTGCGCTTCAAAATAGTCCCAAAGTAAAATAGTTCTGTCTCCAAACGTCCACTCTTCCCATTCGTCCTAAAAGCGCATCCATGTTCAATTTTACGCCATCCATAGGATTCCTCAAACTACTTATCAAGTTGTTGGTGATCACCTAGTATTACAAGAGCGTTATCCAAAAACAAGTTCAACAGCATTACTAAATGAACCTTTATTATTTTAAAATATTAACACTTCAGTCTCTTTAGCCCAGGAAGTAGAGGCTTGATACAGTACCGCCCTCAGAGGTCCACCTAACAGCATTGCAAAAGGCAGCGCACAGTTGCGATTGGACGGCGCTGCAGAAGTTGATCATTGAAGTAGTATTGAAAAATATTTCTCATTGAATGGCCTTGATTGGAGACTGATTCAGGCGAAAAGAAAAGTCAGGTGCTGTAAGAAATCGGGGCAAATTTGTTGTTTGAGCTGATACAACCCTTGGGGGTAGCCACACGAATTAGTGAAGTGAGGGGAGGAATGCTTAAGGATCAGCGTCAAATGGAAGGATGGGGCGGAGCAGAAGGTGAGGATGATTGGAGATTACAGTAATCCGAGCGCCTATAACTATTGGAGCTGTCCGTCTCGATTTTGCTACTGTTTGTGGCGGTCTTCGAGAACCGAGACATTTGACTCTGCTTTCGGCCCAGATTTTTGGGTTTGTAGCCCCTGGATCGCATGTAGGAAATTAGCTGGTCTGGAATTTCGGCCAAAACTGCTCGTGCCAACTGTCTTTTCGTATCCATTACTGAGGTCAAGTTGACAAAGTCGTCAAAGGGAACGAACTGAAAGAGAGATTCGTGCAGAGGGATTGACGACGTTATCAAACGTGCACAGCCTCCAGCAGCCATATGCATAATGAATGCAAGCACGTAAAAAGTGGGAACAATGCAGGATTGTTTAATGGTCCCTATCCGGTGTTTTTAAGAGAGAAACTATAACTGTCGTAAGACTAAACTACTCCATTCTCTTTGAAGTCGTCCGCGGACTGTAAATTAGCGCATGAGCGTAATTTCTTCTATCAGAACACATAAACTACATTTTCAAAACCTTGCGGCATCATTGTACTCGTTATCATTGATGTTAAGTGCATAACTACAACAGAAAACAAACACAACATTTACTTTTCAAAACTTTGGGATATGGCTTCCTAAGGATGGACTTAAATTATTTCCCTTAGAACTTGAAATAGGGGAATAAGGTTACTTCCTCAACTTGGCTTTATGGGTTCAAGGGCACCTAAGGCTCGGCTTCTCTGCTTAAATAGGGAGTTCTGTCCGCCAGACCCGGTGCTTTTGCATGATAGCAGAATTAGTTTCGGGATGAAGAGAATCTCGCACTACAGCACACCTATCTCGGTTCCTTTAGCTGAATGCTTCTGTCCTTAAGGTGGCATTGGACCTCGGCCAACTCCGCGCATTGCTATGCACCTCTCCGTGGTACTCCATTGAAGATGGTGGTGAAATGAAGAGGCTGTACCTCCTTCACCTTTCCAGATCGAAGGGGATGAGTAGCGAAACTTTATCCCCTTGGAATAATTTTTACTCCGGTCAGACCTATTTGAACAGGTTTTTAAGTCAGTGCATGCACAATCAGCGATGGACAAGGATTGTGACCTGCATAGTTCCCTGTCCCACAATAGTTCCCAAGCAAGGCAAACCTCAATATGTAGTAGAATTGTTAACGAGGATCGGTGATATTTCGAAGCAAATACAATTTCAATTGCATACAAGAATTATGATTCACACAACCTATACGAAAGCGTTTTTCCCACGGTATCAACTGTGCTAACGCTGAGCGACGCCAGTAGTCAGCGAGGCGGGCAGTGAGGACAGCGATCAAAAAGGGCAGGGTTGCGCACTGCTTTAGTTGTTAAGGCTTTGGCCATGCTTCTGAAGCTCGTCGAAATGCGTGGTCTCTAGGTCATGCCAGCGACCCTGCAATGCTTTCGCATGTTGGAATTGCATATTTTGTATCACTAGCATATTTACTTCCGTTTTCAAAAGAACGTAGCAGAAATATAGTGGAGAGTCATTTACCATCATTCCGCACCTGAACCGTCATTTTAATGAAAACAGTTGGGAAATCAATGACCACAGTCAGCACAGCTTTCATTAGTTATTCTCGTAAATAATAGCTCCCTTTTCAACTTGCCACTATTCAAAAGCGAGTTCACCCACGTAAGACGCAAAAGGGGGACTAGGTTTGAATGAGACAAGGGTTTTGCCGTTAACAGAATGAACACAAATGCCTTTATAGCCTCAACGGATAATATGAATTCGTATAAACCTAGCTTTTGCTTGTCAAATACAATTTTGACCTAAAAATACTTTATGGCATGTGCGGAAAGCCAAAACATTGATGGCTGCTGTGTTAACGGTTCCCATCTTGCAAATCCCACTCTTCATTCAAGCGCTTCAAAGCGTGAGGATTTTGTGATTAACCATTCTGCTTAATGGAATTGAGGGATTATAATAGCATGTGTGCATAAAATTGCTTACATAGGCAGTTAGTATGACAGAACACTCCTTTTGCATTTGATTAGTCTAGCGAAATTTAAACGACTTTCTTCAAGTGCCTTTCTCACAAGAGAACTTGTTGAAGTGAGAATGTTAACAATGAAAAGGATTCTGTGCAGGTGATAAGCGTTTGCCTCCAAACAGTAGTTCGAAGGAGGCATGTTGGGTGAAACTTGCTCTTCAGCATTTGGAAGGCAAAGGTTTAGCATTTGAATAATCACCTGAACAATGTCCCGGTCAGCACGTCGACCCCTCGAAGTGAGACGAATTTCATCGCCATCCAACTCTTCCATCGCTGAAAAATCGGCCGCTCCGATTCCTACGATGATTATACTGACTGGAAGCCTCGATGCCTGGAAAAGTACAATATAAGATGTGTCAGGCCTTAAAGTGATTCAGAAAAAAACAGGAATCGGGAATTTTCATTTAAGCGATTTTGGAGGAATTTTACCAGACCTTGCGAGCTACATTAAGTAAAGCACTTTCCTCATTTCGGTGCCTTCATTTCTCTACCATCAAAGAGATCCGACAATGTGCATGAGTTCTACAGTCACTTTAAGAGATTGTAAATAACTCCAAGTTTGGTAAATAATTAGTTGACTATTTTTGCCCGCGTCATGATAGGTCCTGCCGATTAGGACGCACTTAGCCTCTCGGTAGGTCCACCCTCAACTAGCAGTGGTAGCACCACTTAGAGAGCAAAGATATCGCAGCAAAACAATAGCATACCGTATGTTGGACATCTGCACGATTAACATTTAAAAAGGCTTGAGTAGTGGACGCCCTGAACCAGATTTTGAATAGCTTTATGGGTGTGCCATGAAACCAACAGGAAGGAAGCGCCTCATCAAACCATAATGCTGCTCCAACTGTTAACAACGAAGCCCGTTTTATAGCCCCCATATTCAGTTGCCTTTTTAGCACTCTAAAGCAAAATCAGCAGATGTTTCATCTCGCAACGCTAACCACATGATGGAAATTGCTCTGTGAGCCCAAACGTTGAATAAATGGTTTGTTTGTGTTTGATAACGATTGTTTTTTTCTAAACTTAAATAAACGTTAACGGTTTCATTCGCATAAAAGGAGAGTTTGTAGAAAAAGCTCAGACATAAGAAGTTACACAATCTCTGCGAAATCAATCTCAGAGCAGTACAGTAACCTCGGAGTTTGGGACAGTTTGCTCTAGTGCTAGGCAAAAATTTGTGAAATTTGTGAGGAGTATTGTTTATGTTTACTATAAAACAAAAAGATGAATTAGTCTACCGCGTTCTCGGTAGCTCGAGACCTCATGAGATGAAATAGATGTTGTGAATGAACGATGCCGCAAATTGCCTAACTAATTATTTTCCCCAAAAAGCAAGGCCAACGGCATTAAAATTGAGACAGCTTTTGCGCACATAAGTTGCTTATTTCTATTGAAGTCGCATTATTGGCGAAATTGTCAACAGATTCTGGCTGCCTTTGCAAAAACGACCACCTTCATTGAAATCGTCTCATTCCGTGACTGTTTTTGTGAGACAAGGAATATAAGGCTTCAGTCGCATTCGTAGATTTAGAGGCAGAATTTCGCCTCAGTGTGAAATGGCAATCTGCCTTTGCAATGAGGTCAGATACCCACCCTGTAGGCGAGTTTCAATGCCCACTTTAACGGAGGACGTGACGCGACGGATTTGAGTCAATTTGCCCTCAGAGAGAAGAAACCTTCCATATTGGCTGAAGAGTTCGTGCCACGCAAATCGTAGCCAACAGTAAAAGTAATGCGAGGCGTATTACGTGCCTTGCTGTACTCAGCCCTCCGCCAGACAGAACCTTCTGTCATAGCGTAGTATTGCTACCCAAGTGTGCTTGTCCCATATGTCCATATTATTTGTCTCTCAGAACACGCATTCTCTTCGGATTCAGCAAAGATTTTTTTGTCTAAAAAACGAGTTTCCAAGTAAACCATTGTCCCAACTAATTTTAAATGCTCAGCAATAACCGCGTTAAAAATATGATAACAAAGACAGAAAACATGCCCGTTGTTAGTTGGATAAAGCTTACATTTACAACGGCTGCCTTGGTCTGAGGCATGTCACAGATGATGCCATCAGTTAGGATGAGGAGAATGTAATACTGAGATCCATCGTCGGTCTGTTGAGCTAAGCTAAATTTGGAGCAGATAAGAATAGCACATAAGTTTCATTGCATTTCGCTCACATCCGCCAATCCGGATAATTCTTGTATGGTTTGAAAAAAGACCTAACGAATGCGCTTGCTAAGGGGCACGGTAGTTTGATTTTGTTAAAAGTTCCCTAATAGTGTGTCAGTGATTTATTACTCCTTCAGTGTCTGCACAACTAAGTACGTGTGAATATTTGGAGGGCTAAATAACAGAGTTGGACCATTCGTTTCCAACAGCGAAGGCGGTGTGTGATGGGCAGGAGACGGTAGAAGAGAAAAGGAGACGGTGGTTAAAGCAGACAGATGCCCGGCGTAAAACATAAAGTCTAAAAGCTAAAAAGAAGTGTGCACTGCAGCACTCATTCATTGTGTGCATTTCTTAAGTCAAAAAAGTGGAATATTCTTTTTCGCTGTAGAACTATCGATATCGTGGGTGCGATAAAGCCCGTGTTGCTGTTAATTCATCACTTTTCGGCATGCATGAAGGCACAGAAACAATGAAACCAGCTACAAACAAAACAAAGTGACAAATTGGCATGAGAGTTCATCAGTCCTCAAATTGTAACAGGATATTTCAATTGAGTGGAATTTTGTAAACCACGAAAAGCAATAAATGAACGGGCGGTAGAGCAGTGAAACTTTTCACTTGGAGAACAGCACGTGGGCAAATGAAGTCGGGTGGAGCTATTAAGCCGAGTTATGCTGTCTTCTCAAATGTTGTTTGCTACAACAACTGTGAAACACGATTCTTTGGTGGAGGATTTGTGCAGTCATTCAGCCTCATTGCAATTCGCCGACACTTTGTGTGGCTCACGAAGAGCTACTTATAGGCGCACCAGTCCATTAGGACATAATATAAAAGGAAATTCGTTTCGTGCACCAAAATCATGGCCAAACTTCTCCCTCAGTGGAACACCGACGGTTGCATGAATGATGGCATTTGAGAAACTAGCGCAATTTCTACCACAGCTTTCCCTTAACCTCTGCTTAATTTCACGGCTATGAAGGCGGTAACAAGCAATACTTAACGCAAGACAGACTGGCGAGAAGGGACAAGCTACTGACTCACCCAAAAATATAGTAGACATTATGATTTGATGGTTGTTTTGGCAAATATTTAATTAGGCGGGCTTCAAACTTTTAATATGGATCCACTTTCAATGGTAGAACATCTTCAAACCAACAATAACCTGCCATCAAAGCTGTGAAAACTTGGGCGCCAACTTGGTGACAACCGCAAGCGCATTCGAGTCAAGGAAGAGGTTTTATAGCAGAGGATCATCGAAATTTAGGTTATTTGTAGGGAGAAGGCACTTGACGAGTGCGACGACACCAATAATTGGGAACTCAAAACTGCCCATGATGTTTAAGCATGATCCCATTCCAACTCATATCAATGATTATAATTTACCAAACAAAACTTTCCATAACGCTTGATCATTTATTGTACTTCTGTTGAAGGTTATCAACCTCTGAATGCAGTCAGCATAGAATAGCATGAATGCAACAGATGACAAGGACAAAGAACAAGGTGTAGCTGAGAGCCCACATTTAATTAAGACGTCAACATAGAGGATCAAAGACAATTACCCAAATTGCAAATTCGATTGGGAACCGGGAAGGCGGTAGCCTGCCGTAAACATATTGTTTTCGATTTGTTGCCATGTCTACTCTCTTAATCTCAAAACACTTTTTGTTTTTTAGGTAAAGCGTTAATTGGCCTATAAGAGTTTATCTGACAATAGACCAGAAACACTCGAATATCTTGGATGTGACGGGTAATCATTGTCAGAGACATGATATCCCATCTTCTCAGCTTAATAAAGCCTGAATTTGTGGGAAAAGGACAAAAGGCTACTTGGCCACTTGAGTGATGATCGGAGCGAAATTGGT